GCTGCCGTGGCCATTATGAGAGGTTCTCTACAGTTAAGCCCAATGGGTAAAATACGTTAGAGGCAGGTGGTTTATGCTGGAGGATTGACAGTGTGTCCATCACTTTGGAATAAAGGCTTTTTTATTTGGTAAAGACCCATGGGGTGTGGTTATTGTATGGGATTTGGAGTGGAGACATGCACAGTACCCACAGCTGGAATCCTCTCGAGGTGGGGGAATCAGTGTGAGAATGGGAGATTTGCTTGCTACGCAGTACATTATGAGAAGTTCTCACTCTCCTTTTGGATTCTTAATTCATTTTATGTTATAGAGAATACAACTTGTGCTGAAATGTGCAAAGGTGGACAGGAACACTTAGAAGTCCCCCAGTCTGCAGAAACAGAGCCAGGAATTATGGTAAAAAGCATTCACTGTTGGAGTATCCCAATGCATAAGAAGCCAGGAGCTGACTTAGACCACCATGCTCCAGATGTAACTAAAACATAATGTTTGGGTAGACTGTGCCTTTACTAATATGTATAAAATTGCTGCTAATCAAGACCACCTTCTGGACAGCTTGGTTAGCCAGGCATGGTTAACGAAAAGGAAAATGAATGAAATCCTACATTAATTAAAACATTGCTGACATACAAAACTGAAAAAAGAAAGGATTGATAGTGGATTTTTTTTGTTTCTATACTGTGAACTTAACTGACTAAGAACTCTCACCGGTGTTGTGTTTGAAGCATTTTAAACTGCAAGTCAGCCAGGTCTTTTTTGTGTTTGATCTGCTGTTTATTATCGCAATAGATGCTATGTATCAATAGCCTACACTGGGGTAGTTCTTAGGATAGCTTCAGCTGAAAAATCAGATTAGTTAGGACTCATTTGTTCAGTATTTGTCACTGCGTATCATTGTTCTTGTTTGTTTTCTTCGTCATTAGGTATGATTGCTGAATTCTATCGACTGCTAGTGGCCGCTTTCTCCGCTGCTCTTTGTTATTTAGGGCAGAGGATAGTGTGAACTGAATAACAAACATCGCAGCCAGACTCTGAGCCGGAATATATTGTCATTCTATGTGAGATCTCGGTGGTTGCACAAAACTGAGGCTCACTGCTACTGACTAATTAGACACAGCAAATCTTAATAGGTTGTTGTGACCCTTAATTGAGTCGAAGAGCTAGATTTAGGTCAGTTCTGTTGCCAGTGGTGTCCTGGCCATTTGATAATTACAATAGAATTCTGCAAAACACTATTTACATGCATATTAATTTCAGGGGAAAAAATGCATTTCATTCTGAAAAGAAAAAAATAGGGAGTTCCCATGCCTCTAACAAGCATCCATATTTAAAAACAATTTGAACAGTGTAGGAACTGTGTGTGATAATGTCAGAGGTGAGGGTGGAAACACACACAGCAGGGTTCTTAAAGAGGAAGAAATTTTTTTTTATTTTGCCTTAGATAGACATGAATGGGATCGACTCAAAGTAGTAGAGACTTTCTTTCAATAATACATTCAGATCAAACAGATACATACTGCCCAGTCATCATGTTTCCAAACTGGTGACTCTCTCTGCTCGGCTTCCCTGAACTTCCTCTCCAGTACAAGATCACAAAGGACAGACCAATCTCCAGGAGCTGTCCATCTGCCAGCTTGGAGAAGAAAGGAGGAGAACGGATTTGCTTGACTTGCTAGCTCTGTCAGGGTTATTCACATAGCTGCCAAAGGCAGCCGAGTGAATAACCCAGCCGAAGTGAAATGAGCCGAACGCTGTTCAGCTTTTCACTTCTGCTCAGTACGGATGATTTCAGCCGTACATCGACTGAAATCAGCCATTGATCGGCTTTCTTCGGCTGCCTTCGGTCTGAGCCAAAGTGCAGAAGGAGTTCGGCTTGCTCTGCCCAGCTGTCAGGCAGGCCATTCGTCCCTGCTTCAGCTCAGTCGAGGTGAAGCATATGCCTTCGGCAGCTGTATGGGCTATTGTGAATAGCCCATAGAGCAGCCCTTCGGTTCCACTGAACTGAAGTGTTCTGGCAGCCGAAGAGAGCCAAATGATCAGCCAAAGCTATGGCTGTATCCTTCAGCTCAATAGTGAATAACCCCCTGTGTGTTTGTGGAGACACACTCAGCTTACTAGCATACATAAGGGTGGGCTCCATAGGGCCCTGCAAGGTAGAAGAGCCACCATAAAACAGGATATCAGGGCTAGTGCTAAGGGTTCAGCTGATTCTGCAGGAAACTAAAACTTTTAAACCTCAATGAGCAACATCAACATCCATTTTAAGTGATTTAATCGGCATTTAAAATAGCTTAAAAACATTTTGGCTTTAATATCACTTTAAAGTACACCTATTATTTTTTCCTTGGTTACCTTGATAGCTCACTTCCCCTTCCTCTAATATTCACTCGTGCCAGGCTTTCACATACCTAATTGTGAATGGAGGTGTATGTTTCCTTTTCCCTTTCTTCCCATGATGCAATGTTGTGCACCAGAGTGATCAGGCACAGGCCCAACCACTATCACATGGGTGCAGCGATTGATCATTAGGACTAAATAAGCTCCAGCACAGAGCTCACTCAGGGCTTTTAACATTCTATGTTATGTGAACAAGGCTTTGAAGAGTAAATAGGTCAGTGGGGTGGGAGGCTGGACTGTCAGTAGTGCCCACCACTTTTCCCATTCAGGTTTACTTTAATGAAATAATTTTATTCTAATAAACCTTGCTTATTAAATAGTGTATATAAAATACATACACATGGGGCTGGCCCTATTTGCCCCATTGCCCATGTTCTTGCTTTGTTTCTTGTTTTTGCCTCGTTAAGTCTCTTATCTCCCTGAATGTTTACCAGGCACGCCATCTCTCTTTAGCTCAGATGAGGGAGCTTGATTATGGCAGAAAGCTGTATTTCTTTTTTTTGTTTACGTAAAATAATAATGTGGTTTGGCATTTGATTTGTGTGAAGTAGGAATTTCTCAAACAGGTCAACTTTAAAGTATCATGGTAACAGACAACATACTATTCTGATTGGTTTTAGACGTTGATGCAGCTCTCCCAGCTTTGGAAGATAACATTGTCAGTGTATTTATACATTTACACAGTGCTCCCATTAAAATATACAGAACAATTTTTTAGCGTTCTTTTTCCAATTCTTTATTTAGTCAATTTAGACACGCAACATACAGAGAAGAGCAAAAAGAATAAGGTTAAATAGGTAAAATGTACAAGCAGCATAACATTTAGGTATATACTTGCTGCTTAGATGGTAATGGAAAGATCACTGTATATCTATAGCATCACAAATATATCAAAATATATAGCTGAGTTGATAGATCTATTTTAAATATTTCTGTTTAAAGCACGTCTCTAGCTTTTACATTTCAAATAAAATTGTATATGGCAGTGCCCATGATATAAAAATCATCTTTTATTGTAGTACACCTCCTATACGGCACTGTCCACAGCGGAAGATTTCCTCTGTTCTGCAGCTGCCGGTCTTCCAGTTTGAATGACTTCCAGAGTAATTCATCCCACTTCCTTTGAAGCCCAGGGCGTCATGGTCCAGCCTCCTGAACTCACAGTACAATGCTGCAGGGAATAGCACTGATGTCAGCTTGCTTACCTCAGCATCAGTGAGGTCCTCTCATCACTGGTCAAGAAATGAGGAGGAAGAGGATCCTGCATGTCATGTGGCTGTGCTTCCTGTGGTGACACTGTTTTTGCCAGTACCATGTTATGCTGCACTACCCTGTTGCTATGCCTTACAGGCCTCCTTAGTACCCTCAGGGGCTTCCTCATCTACTATTTAGAGCCATTTTTTTCAGTAATGGCTGAATTTATGGGCCAAATATCTGCCCTCTTTAATACCTCAGTTTGCAGGGGTCGCAAGCAGGTCCACCCCGCATTCCCCCTCAGAGTCCTCTTTGACCTTCCTCTGTATTTGTTTGCACTCCCAGAGGAAGAAGAAGGGGCTTTGTCTAGTTCTGTGGACTTAGGAAGTGGACCTGCCTCCTGCCATCTCTCGAAGCTTAAGGACACAATTTCTGTCTTTGAGGAGGCAGTTTCTTACATGCTTGCAGCTTGAGCCGCCTGTGTTGACTCTGCCAAAGGTCAGTAGTCTGGGATCTTCAAAAATGGTCAAAGCTGCTAAAACCTTTCTTTTACTTTTGCTTTACAACCGATGTTGTATGAGATCATCCTGAAAATTGTTTTACTCCTCCGAAACAGTTTGCTCAAAAATATTCTAAGAAATGGGCTGTTTGCATGTTGTTGATCCAGCCATCTCTTGCTTGAATAGGGTCTTAACAGTCAGTCCCTGTAGAAGATGTCCCTGTTTTCAAGGACCACGTGGACAAGAGGTTAGAAGCACTCTTTAAGGCCTTATTTGCCTTCGCTGGCCTGGCTATGCATCCTGCTGTTGCGACCGGCCGTTTGTTAGACCTTATCCTTAAAGAGGCATGAATTGGTATGTTCTTCCAGTGATTTGAATGTGTTTCCTTTGATTGATATGGTATCTTACCACATCCCATGGCTTGGCTGGCTTAATTGGCTTGTGACCCGATATGACTGTTGTCAGTGTGGGGCATTAGGCTGTGAGCTTCTTTGGGGCATCTGATAGAGATGTTCTGTAAATATCTGTGCAATATGCAGGTAATAAAATGTAAAAATAGCCTTTTAAGTTCCCTCATTGACTGCCTGTAAAGGGACAGTACTAGTGATATTTGCATATTTGGATAACCTGTAGGTAAAAATGATCATAACAGAAAATCACCACAGGAGTCAGAGCAAAATACATTCAGATAACTAAAAGGCAAATTTGGCTTTCTGTCGCCTGGTAACACAAAAAACTTAAACCATCCCAAAATATCTTCTTTCAGGGTATTGATTTGAAACTTTGCCATCATGTCATCGTGTATTTACTATGGAAGCATCTTTTAATTACTGAAATACTTACAGGTTTATTTATGTTGTGCAGATGTGTTGTTGTTTTTTTTAAATTAAATTTTCTTTTGACTTTCAGGCACTCCAATATGGCATCGCTGCTCCTGAAGTATGGGCTGAAGCTGTCAAGCTTATATTTACAGAATTGTTTAGAATACAACAATTTTCTTTTATTCCGCTACTTTCTGAGCCAACACTGCCCATTGCCCTCTAGGGAAGAACTTGATGCATTTAAACAGCAGTCATCTAAAAGCCATCACAAAGAATGGCTGCCTTACTTACTACTGGCCGAGCTCGATGCTGCACATTTGCTGGACGCCACATGGTGAGAACTGTTATGTTTTCAACTTGTACTAGCTCATTTTAACACTGTGGAGTCCTTTCTTGTCCTTTGTGTGTAACCAGCAAGCAGGTTTGCTTCTGATGTTCATTTGACTTGGGTCGCTTAGAGCCATGTATTTATTCAGGAACGAGGAACACAGTATAGAAAATAAGTAATTCATTTTTATAAAGGACTAATTCTAGTAAATCTTGAATGGTTATTAAGAAATACATAGGCACCCTATAGAGATTTTTCATCCAAGCAGCCGACTGAGTTTCCCATGTGGGACTGAGTTCTGGGGCATGTTCCCATCAGTCACTTAAAAACTGGGTTCAGGTAAGGGGGAATTTGCCCCCTGAGCTAGTACTAATAAGATGTGGTGGGCTGGTAGCCTTAAGTGAATATATTTTACCATGCGGACATCAGAGAGGGACCTGCAGCCACACATGCTGGCAATTAAATAGATACCTATTGCTCATTCACACCGGTAATCATAGCATCTGGTAGAGGGAAGTCTTGCACCACCAAGTTTTTGCCACTCTGAGATGCCATATAACTGAAAACCGCAAATAAGCTGTTGCTGGAAGATGCAAATGGTGTGTTACAATTAACCATGCCCTTTAGGAGCACTCACCTTTTACCATGACCTCAAATTAATCTGGCACTGTCGTACACTTTGATTAGGCTGCCAAAATCTGTCACTACTCCCTACCATGAAAGGGCTAGTTGACTCCTAGTCCTCCTGCTTGACTTGGATAAATAGAAACTTTGACAGACACATTCTTGTGTTAGTTAAGTAAATACATAATGATTTGTAAATGCTGCTACAAATATGTAAAATGTGACTTAATGTTCATATATTGTATATCTGTTCCTAGCAGTGTGAAAGCAATCCAAAAAGTGAAGGGAATACTAAAGAGGGGGCCACCAGTGTAGAGAATTTCATTGTGCATTGTATATTTATGTATATTTTTTTGCTAGTAGTTCTCTATTCATTCTCTTTGACAGCTCAACTCCAATCATATATAATGAATGCCCTTTAATCCAGTGATATATTCATTAAAATCATTAAATGTTTTGATAGCGCTAGAATGCAAAGCCAAAATTACTGTAGTCTGTATTATAGCTTGTCATTATACCCTGTACGCCAGGACTCCAAGCCATTCAGAGCTCTACGGAATTGCAAATGCTATCAGTTTAGCACTAAAGCTGGACATACACTGGTAGATTTCTGTACAAACGTTAATACAAAAAGCCTCGTCAGAACATTTAATAATGCCATCAGAAACACATCTAGCAACACAGTATTTAAAGGTGCCTAAACCTCAAGACTTACTTCATTCACCATCAGGCTTTGTAGCATGCCTAAGTTGCCTTTTTCACCTTTACCTTTGTTGTTCCGATCCACCACTGTTGGGACCGAAAATTTAATGCAAACACTGACCTTCTGAATATTCTCTAAGCTTTTAAAAATGGAAAAATCACAGTCTTTGTATCACTTCTTTCCCAAACTCCAAATTATTGTATATGCAGAACAAAAATGTTGTAATTATTCCTTGGGGCAGAATTTTAAAACATGGTGCAAAAGTGGGGCAGCTGCCCAATCAGGTTACATCTGTCAAAAGAAGTACATTATTTAATTGGTTCCTTTGGGTAACTGTGGCAGTTTTTCTCTAGTTTTCTTTCCTCCAGCCTTTCTCGTAATCAGCCCCAGTGTATTTACTTAGTAATCTTGTAGTTTAACATAATGAAAAATATAATTTAATCCTATAGTTATTTAAAACACATGCTGTGTCTATTCCATCTGGTATATTTTCAGCTTCTGAAAATTGGTGTGTTTATTTTTGGTACAGGGGTTTCTACGCTAGAGATTTTTCACCATTACTAGATGTTATCATTTTTTTTATACACTTGTCACACCCAAGCGGAAGTTGTCAATTACTGATGCTAAAAGATGAACTGTAGGCAAACGGCTAAATACACAGGATACTGTACATACATGGGAGATGTTTTCCTTTCGAAAGTATTTGTGTTTGTCTATTTAGTTCTGAGAGTTTGACAGTCCAGCCATATTGTACAGATAGGCTGTGACCTAAGATTCTCTCCTGCAATTAGGCTAGGTCACCTCCCTGCCCCCAGCCTGTGCTTGGGCTACTAAGAAGCAATAGAGGCTCGTCCCTCTGCCCTGTTCTCTCCTGCTATCAGCATGTTTCTTGACAGCACATATACTGTATATGCAACACCCTTTATTGGATCCTAGTATTGTCCCTCCCTCTCCCAGTCTTAGTGCTGTTTTAAAGTGGACTACAAAAGGCTGATACCAAGTGTGCCCTTAAAGCTTAACCAATCCACCAACACTTAACTCCTCAAAGGAACCTTAAACTCTTTAACCTCTGCCCTAACACATAACCACTTAAAGCCTTACTTTACCCTCAACAGATAAGCTACACCTCTAGACCCTAGCACTGGCCTAAACTAGCTGTTAAAAACGTAACAGTTGGTTACAGATTTTTCTAGATGTTCATCTCCTCTTGTGTCAGGAGCCACTGCAGTAAAAGATCACAATTCCTGCGGTAATAGATAGCAGACTTTTGATGTTTATAGCATATAAAAACAGTATAACATTTTTCATTTTGGATAGATGGGGAGGGTAGGGTAGGGATAAAACTGTTTCGAGCCCTGTCCATTAAGACCCCCTGAGGGGGAGGGGGGTATGCCCTTTTCCAGTTTTTATAGGCAGCTTGAGGAGCTGCATGGTGCCTATGCAGCCTCTTGCTGAGGTTCTCTACTGCATCGGCCGTTGCTTCTGTGGCTCTGCATGTGTACTAGGGATTCTGGATCTCTGCAATTTGCTGCACTGGGTCACCACTTCTGCCTTGATGGTTTACAGTTAAAGCCAAAGGTCACTAGTCTGGGTTCTCTAAAAATGCCCAAACCTGCCAAAACCTTCCCTGTACATATGTTTTTACAGCCAGTGTTGTATGGTGACTGGGATCACCCAAAAAAATAGTTTCACTCTCTTCCTCCTCCTCAGTTCCTGCTGTTACACTTGCCAAGATCCTACAAAAGATAGATGGATCTTCTTGCTGCACTAGGTCAGCTTCTTTCCCAGGAGGTCATAGTCCCCAGGCAGAAAAGTTTCAGGGGCTTTACTCCAACCGTTCACTGTCCCAGAAGCAGAAGGGGAGGGAGGTCCACCCTGTTCTCATTCTCAAGACCCCCAATGGGTTACCGATATCGGTAGTCTACTAACATTCTATGAGGAGGTGAGTCTATAGAGGAAAGGCAGTGGACGTAGTATATCAAGTATGCATATTTGCACATTCCCATTTTTCCAGCCCATCAACTCTACCTGCATTTTGCTGTGGACACGCAACACTACCAGTTTGTTGCCCTTCCAATCAGTGTCGTCACTGCATCTCAGGTCGTTATCAAATTGCTGACTCCTATTTTGTCTCTGCTTCAGTCTCCAGGGATCCCCATTGTGGGATGACCTTCTCCTCAAGAATTAGTTGGCACAAGCCTTATCGTCACACAGCACAAACCCTACAGATCTCAAAGTTGACGCTGGAACCCTCCCATTGCGTGAAATACCTAGGGCTAGCCTTAAACAGGGCCCTGTCCAGGGTCTTTTTTCCCCCTGAAAAAAATCCAATTTGTCCGCGCCTATGCTTGGACCTTGTGGTCCAAGAGTTGCCCAACCATTTGATTTTGCATGAAAATGCTAGGCTGGATAGTGGCCTTTTTCGAGGCAGTTCCCTATATGCAGTTTTTCTCCAATCAGTTGCAGCTCATTCATTCTGGCTGTGTGGGACAAGCAGTTCACGTGCTCAGCAAGCCAAGGTTTACCCTGGTGTGTTGGATTTCCAACCCGGCACTAGAATCAAGCCTTCCTTCCTCCTGATGGTCCGGAAGGTGCTCATGGATGTCAGCCTGAAGAGGTGTCCAGGGGAACCTCTCGGTTCAAGGGGACCTGGTTGGCAAAATAATTTTGACTCCTGATCAACATCCTGCAGCACAGGGAGATTCAGTTGTCTCTTCAATGCTAGATCCCTCAGTTACAGTGCCAAATAAATGAGCCTAAGTTGGCTTACATGCCAATGTAGGCTCAATGAATGGCTTACATTAATCATCAGAGAGCTACCAGAAGTCATGCAGCTCAAAGAGAAGAAGGCCTGATTCTGACTTTGGCAGAAATTCATGTCCAAGCGCTGTCCCCTGTACACAGCCCAGGCGTGGAAAAGAATCAGGCGAACTCCCTCAGTATTCAACGTCTGAGACGTTGACGATTCTCATTATCGATTAATTCGATTAGTTGATTCAGCACTACTATCAAACAGTAAAGCAGGTGAGTCAGCAGATGGAATATCTGTGTGGAGATTCGCCAAGGCTTCAAAGAGTCACACAATTTATGAATAATAGATACTTTTGATTCTTTATTTTTTATTTACTGATTAGACAAATCTACATTTTAACAGGAGAGTTGAAAATTAGCTAATCTTCAATTTGATTTTAACTAACTGTGAGAATTCTAATGTACAAATTGGTAATACGTAATTAACACTTTCCCCAGTTTGTCAACACTAGGTGCTTAGACAGAAGTTACATTTTCATAACAAGTTTTTAAGCCTTGTACTGTACCTGTACCAAAAGCTAATATAAATAAACACTGTAATATTTAAAGCAACATGTTTTATAAATGCAGCTCAGCATTCTCAAAAGCACCTAATCAACTAACAGTAGACATGGCATTACCTCTGATTGTTCTCATTATTTTCAAGCGTGACAAAATATACCCACACAAAAATTAGAGTTTGAAGTTAGAAAGATTTACTTGGTGAAATAATCGCCTGTCACAATACCATCTACAAATTGGATATTCTGAAAAGGCCTAAGACAGGCATTATATATAAAATACTTGCAAGTCAGCCAAAGTGGGCGAGAAAAAAAATCCCCAAACAAATTAAAAGTGTTTTAAATGGAATACGAAATGTTTACTAATT